AATTAAATAATAATACTTTTATTGCAAATAAAGAAAATTTAATTAATTTTTAGATTAAATTAAAATTTATTATATATTAGATTAAATTTTATATTAATATTTTCCATTAAATAAATTTTTTGACGCATGGAATTATAATTAATAATTCCGAATTGCTTTGTTTGCTAAAGCTAAATCAACATTGATATATTACTCTATTTTGCAGAATTATAAGTTTTGTTTGATAAAAAAAATACTTCGATCAATGAAATAATAAAAAGACGCGCATGTCGACCTGACTTTTTCGTCTCCGTGCATTTTTGATGGCCCTCCACCCCCTTTATTTCGACACTCGTACATCCTTATCTCGGATAAGACATGTTTCTAGGATGAGACTCGCCGCTTCAACACTTTAAGCAGGGAGGTTGCTCATAGCTCGCGTTTTTTTTTTTTGTCAGCAACGTTACGAGAAAAGTCGCGCCGTGAAAAGAGAAGAAGAATTAAGTCAACGACTGGGAGCCTTTTATATTCTAAACATACAGACGACCTATTATTTTCCTCAAATAGTGTTTCTCGTTCCTTCCCGCGATAGTGAAAGGAATTGGAAGAGGAAGAAACGGAGATACGAAAAGAACGAGGAAAATTGTGTGCGAACGTATGTTTCTTCCTTCGCTCGAGTTTGTCACAATACGGTTTTTGTTCATGAAAAATGAAGCGTGAATCACAACTGTATCTTTGGATTGGCTGAAAGTCAAGATGGAAGTCGCGAAATTTTAAATTCTTCTCTTTCTATTTCTTTCTCTTTGCATGAGTAATTGTGACTGTTTTAAATATTGATTAGAGAAACTATTGGTTTTAAATAATAATACGTCGTCAAAATCAGTGACTTAAATATATGCATTTGTTATTATTATTATCAATAATATGCGATACGGAATCGAGAATTAATCGTAAATAAATTCACGTTTCACCAAATGATAATTCAGATACTGTTTCAATTATAAAATACTGCTTTCAATTGTTATATAATCTGATTCTCATCATCTGATTCTGCGAATATATATATATTAATATATAGTATTCATAAAAAAATCCAAAAGAAGAAATCTTATCGCTGTTTCATGTTGCAGCGATCGCGGTTTTGCTTTACGTTTCTTTTCATTTTTTTACCTCGTTGTACGCTATGAATTGTGCACGGCCTATTAGGCTATGGTCAAAGGAAAAGTAGTGAATGTGTAAATTGCTCGCATGAAAAACCGTCCCTATGTTTATAAGAGAAAAACGAATCGCGGGACAAAAACCTTTTGAACCACGTTACCGTCGTGTATCAACCTTTTCCGACAAACGTTACATAAGCTTCGTTATAATCGAGTGCCTTTTGTGCGCGAGGATTAACGTAACGAGTAAATAAATGAATTTTTAAAAAACTTATATTCGTCCACAATTTAGAGATAGGTAGGTACGTACTTGTTACCCGATTAATTTGCATCGTGCCGACGAAATGCTGAATATTAAAAGTTCCTCGGAAAATCATAGCATAGACATATGTAAGAAGAAAAAGCAATTGCAATTAGAGAATTAATCGTCTCATCGAATAAATATTTAATATTGTGCGAATAAATTATAAAAACATCGCGTGAAATGATGATAAGGTTTCATAATGATTTTTTTCAATCGCTATTCGAATGGCTCAATAATAAAAAATAATTTAAAAAATTTGTTTTCAAATATTTTTTCTCAAGAGCGAGAAAAAGAGAGGTCTCTCGTTCATTCTGTAACTTATGGGGAAAAAATTAATAAATCCCACTACCATAACGAGCCGGTTACACGCGACTATTCGTTTATCTGCGAGCGTGAGCAAGGCTCGTAGACAACGGAAAAAACACGAAGGGAGAACACGCGGTCGTCGTTCGCGACTGCAGTTTTAGGCGCATGCATGGTGGAGAGGCGTCGGGTTAGACATGCGATCTGTATACATTCCGGAGACGATTGAACGCGTGCAAAGCAGTCAAAAGTAATCTGTTTTATTCTTCTCTTTCTTTTTTCAAGGTTGCCCTTTTTATTCGTGCTTTCATTCGTAGTCGCGTCGAGGAGTTTTGTCGACGAGGAGACGAGAACGAGAGCGAAAGATATATCATGCAATGTCACGATCCTGGCTGTATACCAGAGGACGTAAATATTTCTTTATTTAGATTGCATCATGCTTTTAGATATTGTAAAAAATAATAAATCACAGAAAAAAAGGAATCCTGATTCAAGTAGTATATTTTTATTCTTGAACGCTATTTGATTGATTTAAGCATATAATGCTCTTTGTAATCACAAATTTTCATTTGCCTTAATAATAAATAAGTTTGTGTAAAGTATATTTTATCCTTAAGATATATTCTTGTTTTAAAAATCGCATATGGTAAAAATAAACTTAGTCACATTTGAACTAAAAATTATTATATATATTTGAAAGTACCACTTATATCTGATGCTCACTTGTCCTTGCAATATTTAAGTAAATTTCAGCTTCAACCAAGAATATTGCACTTTATTTTAAGGATAAATTATCCTTTATCCAAAATTATTTATATTTGGCGCTATTATAAGGATAAAATATACTTGAATCAAAGCATATTTGCATTCTTTCAAGGATACTGTTTTTTCTGTGATGTGTTCTCGCGATAAAGAAATAAGTAATCGATCCGAAATATAAAACTACACAGAGAGGATTTTCGTTTTACCCTGAAAATCGATATTAAAAGAATTTTATAACAGGTTCTCTGATTAAATATTTACCACAATAAAAAATATTAATCAGAGAAACTCTTAAAAAATTTTTCCGATTTTCAGGATGAAAATTCTCTCTGGATAGGGAATCAGTATAAGGGTTGTTTTCCACGTCGAAAAAATCAGCAAAAACAAGGAAAGGAGAATAAAATGTATACTTATGTAAATTTTTCAATCTCGAATAAAATTCTCGAAGACAAAGGATTCCCATCATCCAGACACGTAGCATCAAGATACGTCCCTTCGGAAATTGCTCGTCTAATAAAACGTAGAGAAAAAATATTACGACTCCCAATGTACGGAGCACAGGAACGAGGGAAATAATGATAGCGCACCGTCCTTCGAGCGGTATAGCAACGCGAGCAAGGGAGGACGCACCACGCGTTATCGACCGCTCGAGAGAGGCTGCGAGGGTGAACGTCGCCGTTCGTAGGCACCACGTGACGCGGTGGAAGCGAGCGGGAAAGCCGCGCGGGAAATGTACGAAGGGACGAAGCCGGCGGCAACCCCTGTCTGCCTGCGCGCGTTTTACCCTTCGCGCGCGCGGCCGACCTTCTCCTCCTTCCGCCCTTCGTGTTAAAGCACCTCGTCGTGATAACGTACGCGTTCCACTGTATACCCACCTACGAACCCTTCCACCTTCTCTCGCCTACACGCCTGTTCTATCCGCGTCCTCTCTGTCTCCTCGTCCTTTCACCCTTTATGAGTGGCGCGTCGTAACGGAGCATCCCGCGTGATACGAGAAATCGCACCCCCGACATCCCCCTTGAGATATCGAACTGCGGGGTCGCGCGGCAGGGGGGTTGAATGTTCGGGGAAAGGGTCGGTCGACTTAATGCAGTTTCAAGAAAAGGGGCCGGAGAGTATGGGGGGTGGAGGGTAAATTGGAAGGTTTAGATTCTCGCGCGCGATTCTGTTCTTGCTCGAATTATGACACCCGGTCGACGAAGAAGCGCTGCATCAGCGAATTTATCGATGATGTATAAAATGGGGATTATAATTCTAAAATATCAAGATTTCTTATAGCTCTCTCCAAAAAATCTATATATTTTATCCAGTAATGTTAGATTAGAAAAATTCTAGTAAGTATAGTGAAAGAAAAATATATTCTGATATTTCTCTATTTCTCGTTTATATCGAAAAATATAGTAGAATATAAAATATATACATACATGTATGTTATAAGTTAGTAAGAGATTTTTTGCAAATTAATGAGATACAAAAATCGTTTGCTTAATAGTGGTTTAAAAGAGAGAATAAGAGCAAAAAAATTCGAGAATGTAAATTAGAATCAAAAGTGCAGGAAAAAGTTTTCTGTTGAAGTGTGTGTGTTGTTGTTAATATGTACATTATTCACAAAAAGTGAAGAGATTATTCAAATATATTCTATCTTAATTATGTGCGATGTATTTTTTTTATAGATACTTTTTCTCTAAAAGAAATACCTACTAATTTCTCTCTATGAAAATCATATGTATATGAAACAGTAATTTGGATTTAACGCTAATGCCGAAGGAAAATTATATGTATATCAATATACGAGTTGTATTTATATGCGGGATTAATTTGCATATGCGATATGGAAATTAATGTATGTATAATTAAATCAACAATACATCTGCGATATTATTGTGAAACACGATTAATTAATATAATATGCATACCTTGTATCGATGTATCTTTTGCTTAATGCTTTCCGTGTATGCAGCTTTTATTCTTATCATCCTTATTACTTTCCAAGTAATATTATCGATATATTGCTTGCATCGTTGATTTCTCCAATATAATTCCAATTCCGGCAACTGTTCATGGCTTATTGCTACGTAGCCTCTGGAGAAATATGCTTTTAGTGCATCCTGTCCATTGTATTATTAAGCGAGAACACATTAGTTTTCCTATGGCATAATATTTAATATTCACATTAGTTATATTAAATAATATAAAATATATTATATATTAATTACGTTATTAAAAAACATATGAGTAATTATCATTTGGTTCTATTAAACAATATAAAATATCATAATATATAATTCGATAGCACATATAAAGTATTGTAATTGAATTTTTCAACAATATATTTTTCGACGTTTCAGAGTCGATCAAATCGCACATATAAAATTTGTTTTACAGAAAGAAACAAAACATTAACATTTTATGTCTACATATTAATTTAATTTAAATCATTATCCTTATAATTCTATTTAAAAAAAAAGAAAACTATATTGTTGTACGTTTAAATAAATCTGTTAAGAAATTGCAATTTTGCGATTACAATATTTTTCATTATTATATCGTCGAATTACGATTTGCAGATTAATCTTTGTGTTTTTCAGACCAGGCTGACTCGAAGGTATCGGATAAAAGCAAGCGTACCTACATTGATCTTGCTGGAGGGGTCGAATGGTTCTATAGTGACAAGAGGAGGCGTTGAACGAACAGTTGCTGATCCCACCGGCTTAGAATTCCCTTGGAGACCACCGCATCCAAAAGCTGCCCTTGAAGATGGACCTCTCCTGCCATGTGGTGCCCGCGATAGCAATGAACCTATGTTGCATGAGGAACTTCGTTATTGTTACAAGGGAGTTTACTTCAGCGCACATTGGGTAAGTAGCGATACTAAAATTTCACAGCGAGAATTTTCTCTTAGAATTTACCCTGAAAATCATAATCGTGAGACAATATATTGTTAGAAGAATTTTACATAAGAGTTTCTCTGATTAATATTTACCACAATAAAAATATTAATATCTAAAATGAGATATAAAATATGTACGATTAATTTTATTATATACATATTTTTTATTGTGATAAATATTAATCAGACAAACTCTTATAAAATCTTTCCAATACTATATTGTCCTCTTTTACATTATCATGATTTTCAGCATAAATTCTAAGAGAAAATTCTCTCCGTGTATGTAAATATTCGAACAATCATATCATGGTGTTTTACTGCTTATCTCTGGAATTGATATCTCGGGAAGAAATTAAGAAGGAAAATAGATAAGATTTTAAATACATATTTTAACAGATTATTAATTTGATAATAAATTATTGAAACATTGAAAGTTAAATATTCATTAGAAAAAATAATATTGAATCAAAGTTTTTCAAAAAGATCGATTTTGTATTTTAATTAAGTCACAACATATTTCAAATGATATATTAATTTAATCTATATGTTTTTGACATTACCAATATTATTATACATTATAATCATTTTAGAAATATATTGTATGTTTTTCATTTAGTGTCCACCTTGTAAAGCATTTACTCCGCAACTCGTGGACACGTATCAACGAATTCGAGAGAGAGGTGGCAATTTCGAAGTAATTTTCGTAAGCTCGGACAGGTAGGTTTATTTGTGAGATATTGATTATATGTTACATCTCTCATAATAAATGCTCCGTAATAGAGTTCTATTTTTAAAAATATCACATCTTTATTCCAAAATATTTCTTTGTTTTATTTAATGGCTGATCTTTGTGTATTATCTATAGTTCTTTTGTTTTTTTCGTGTACTTTTTATAAAAGATTTCTATCGTGCATTTTTATTCTAGGAGTGAGGACTCCTATAATGCGTACACGGAAACAATGCCTTGGCTAAGGATACCTTTTAATCAAGAAGAAAGACGTCGAAAATTGGCAAGGGCTTTCGATGTTCAAGCAATACCGACTCTAGTTATTCTAGATTCTCGCGACAACATAATCACTCTAGACGGACGCGCCGAATTGATCGAAGATCCGGAAGGACTGGTAATTTTACAATCAAAATTTTCAAACAACTATTGTAATTAAAAATTATAACTTTTTTCTTTTGGAAAAAAAATAAAGACGCTATTATATATATCAAAATTTATCAAAAGAATGTTTAGAAATGAGTGTCTTGTTTCTTTGAAACTTTCACAATTATTGACTTTATAAATTTTCAGAATTTTCCTTGGACAAGTAGACTGGTGAATATTTTAACAGAAAAGTATGCTACATCGTTACACGATGCTCCAGCGATTATATTATTTGTCGGTAAGAATATAAATAAAAAAATACGTTTGTGCATATATATTCACGTCTTCTATTCAAAAATAATAAAATCTACTGAAAAAATTAGATTGTATGTATTGTTTATATGTATATATATATATATATATATATATATATATTGTTTAATCTTTACCTGTATATTTTACAGAAGGAGAAGACTGTGAGATCCAATTCGGGGAAAGTGTTCTACTACCAGCTGCACAAACGTATAGAAGAGATCAGCCTGATTATGATCCAAATTATGACGAACCTGAGGATGATACATTACAGTTCTATATAGCTTTAGATGTAAGTATATGCATGAGTGATATAAATTAAATATATGTAAATATAATTTGTTTCAATGTTCATAAGTATGCAAAAATCAAGTTTTACAATTATATGTGATGATATAAAATATTTCAAATTGTAAATATAAAATATTCATAAACCAAGTACTTTAATGATTTTTTTTTTACGCAGTGTGAAACGTCCGAAATTCTTCGTGAATTCATTGGCTTGGATGATGCAGTACCTCTTTTGACCGCTATAGATATTCCGCGAGGAATATACGTGGTGATGGAGGACGGTGCTGAGATTACAGTGGATTCAGTACAACAGTTTGTCGATAGCTTTCTCAACAACAAATTACCGATAAATAAAATAACGGCAGTCCATAAAACATCAAAGACAAATGAACATATGCCAGCTTAAAGGCACGTGTAAAATTAGTTCAGCGCAAAATTTGTACTTGTCAAATGTTAGGAGTTGTTCAAATGTTAGAAAAAATCCTTCTATCTTTCTGTTTTTGTCTTTTTTACTCCTATCTCTGTGATACCGTCATTCTTTACGTAGAGTAAAAAAGATTCGCGTAAAAAATGTACTTGTTTTTGCATAATTGTTTGCAAAAATAACCAAAAATGTATCATACGATAGTCGTAAATAAATCGATCAAATTGTATTTTTAAGTGTATGCACACGAATATGTTAATAAATTATATATTAATTAATGCCGAGTGAGCACATTATAGAAGTTTTTTGATTAGCAAGAGCTATTCGTTGCTGTAACTTTTAACACCAGTCGCACATTAGATTTATATTGTACAGATATTTGAAAATTTAATACACAATATCTATATGACATCGTGTATGTACATATTTTTATTCTCTAAATTTATTTTATGGATGGTGATGTTTAAACATTATATTGTTTGCTATAACAAACGTTTTATTTGTATCTCTCTTTTTTTATTCACACATTTTTCTGAGTTCTTTTTTACAAAATTATTTAATTTATTAAGTCTCTTAAATTACTAATGAAAATATTACTGGAATAGAATGATTTTTTTAGTTTTTTAACATACTTATTGTTGTATCCTAACATTTTTTATACAACATACACGAAGTCATTGATTACATTCATACAAAGTCATTGATTTCACACACATATCAATCCTAATTTACATATTAAATATTTCACAATTATAAAGCTACTACCGTCGCTGGTTAAAAAATGTACAATAAGAGTTTGCTTTTATAAGAAAAGGCACTATAACGTCATGAATAATAAAGTGCATTGAATTATTTTAAGTCGTGTTAGTTAAAAATTTGATTAATGTGATTGCCGTAATATTTGTCTCTAATGATTATATATAATGAGAATGATTATGCAAGGAGTGCTGCCAGAGCATCAAGAAACTTGGGTCTTTCCTCGATTTTCAGTCTTATTACTGTAAGAAAGATAAATGTTAAATATGATAAATTCCGTGTCAACTCATTAGATCACAAATTCTATTTCATATTTACTTGTACTATCAAAGTAGTCTGCTTCAATGTAACAATTTTTATTTTTTGCAGCTTGCTCGAATGCTTTTCCAAATAAACTGTAAGAAATATATAGTTATAAACATATATATCATATTTTCGCATATATAAATTTTACCTCCTGGGTTGATCTTCGCAAACTGGTGGTATACCAACAAGAAGACATGATCCTTCCTCCGCGCTAAACATTGCAGAGGCCACAAGAGGCCACTCAGAGGCACGCCTGTTTCTCGAAGAATTTACATACGCCTTGAGGGCAAATTGAGCTAGCATAATTAAAGAATGAGAATGTGCAAATAAATAAGTGTCTATATTCCCATCTGGCACATTCAGATACAAAAAGGAACCAAAATTTTTTACTTGCTTAGCTTCCAGTATACTCTGCGCAGTTTTAAAAATATTGTGAAGCATAAGCTTTGCTCTTTCTATGCCGCTTTCTAAAATATCTTTTTTTGTACGCGATAAACAGTCCAGCGCATCTAAGAAGCAACGCTGTGGTTGTCTATCCTTTGTCTGTAAACATATAGTAACACACATACATTAGACAAATATTAATATACTATAATTTATTTAATGATTGCTTACTCACTGTAGAATCCAGTAAACCCAACATAGCATACACCATGTCTGAAGCACAATATTTAAAACGATAACCATATTGAAGAGTAAAACTAGTGCCAATAATGCTATTGACATTATATTTCCCTGCTAATTTTTCAACCATTTGCCTAAATTCTTGTCTAAAAGTAAGATCCATTGCACGAAACAATTGTCTGGATTGCACTAGAGGTAAACCCATTTCTGCTAAAACTTCCTTCAAACGTTGTTCGCCTCTAATGGACCAAAGACGTAACGACACTGCAGTTGACATTGAATATTTTAAGCTAGCTTCAACAGTCCAATGACGATATAAAGCTAGTTGCAAACTATATATTATCATTAAGGAATTAACATATTTGTCAACTTTACATATTAAATTAATAAGTATTTGTCATTTAAAGGATACTCTTTGTCATAAGTAACTTTAACAATACTGTGCTGTTGTTGTTGCTTATCAATATCAACACCTTGTCTGTGTGTTAACCTCGAAACATGGGCTTGAAGATTACCTTCTTCGAGAACGGCTATTCGTGATTCTACCTTACTAAGAATGGATTGTTCTGTTGAACCAACTATGGCCCACCATGCCATATCTAAATTATCTTTTGACATATTCCAAGCCATCTCAAATACCACTATCGCACTCTGTAATAAAAAATGGTGTGTATATTAAGTTTTAAAAGTATCTCATTATTAAAATCACAAGTTATAGTATAATACATACTGATTTGCCATAATAACTGTATTGCAAATAATTAAAAAGAATTGTCGCCCTATTTTCAACCCATTTCCTTCGTTCGCTTCGTCTTAAAATATCTTCTTCATTCAATCTTCGTCTTTTACTTTGCTTACTTTCATTTTCATTGTCTGATTCTTCATTCACATCCTCCTCATCTGACTATATAATTAATCACAATTATAGAACAAATAGTTGAACATGTGTATGATATTTTATAATACTTACGCTATCATCTCGGAATATATCATTATATTCTGGAATTTCATCATCTTCATCAGGTTTACCAAGAACACATATTTGACTTTCTGAATATATATTGCATAAATCGTAAGGCCTATGACTGTCGAGAATAAAAAATACTATAGATTCATCTGGTCGAAGTAATTCCACTAAATCTAGTGTACCACCACAGTTTATCATTACAACATTTTTTATCTGAAAAGAAATTTTTAATTAAAACAACAATTTAATCAATGAAACATATAATAGTAAAGACACTTTCTAAACTGTTATTACCTCTTCACAATTTTCATCAAAGGCATTTATCATATCCTGAATACCTCGGACAGGTACAAGAGTATATATTATGTGATCATTTTTAAAAAGTTGTTGTAATATTCTACAGGCACAGATCGCATCAATGTCAAAATTCACCAGAAGTAAACATCTCTAAATAATATAGAAGAATAGTTAGATATTTCTATACAACATAAAATTATTTAATTGAGATTCAAGCTACATTTTTAAAAGTATAATTGAATATAACAAACGCAAAAAAATTATGAGTTACAAAAGTATGTCTAATAGTTCTGAGATTAGAATATGAAATTGATTATATTATACAATAAATAGTTGCTTTGCTCGTCATACAATTGCACATTCTTATAATATTTTGCTTTTTATCTTGAGATGAAAAAAGGAATATGCACGCGATTCAATATTCTAGTCAGTTGAAAAAAGAGAAAATAGAGAGGCAGAGAGTGATACGTAACAATAATCTAGTGTAGAAATAAAAGATTGTGATTAATCGTGTAAAAAACTCGATGAGCCACATTATTGCAAAAAAAAAAAAAAAAGAAAAACTAAAAAATTATTAGAATGTAAGAGAGACGAGTGTGTACATATAGGAACATCGTGGAGTGTAACCTATATGAGAGACGCGGTATACGTTATTGCAGATCTAGACAAAGCCATCGACTCACGCTTTTTTGTATCACACCGTAAAAATCCTTCTCTAGGTTCGTCACGAACATGTTGCGATCGTCTACGACGCGTGAAACATTGCAGGTTCTCCGACACTTTCGCAGGACGGTCTCAGCACCAGCGATCTAGCGCGAAAATCCAAACCAGAGTCGGGGTCACAAGGTGTTCCGTCAGTGCGCGCGTCGACCGAACAACCGTTATCATCACGTCGTCGGCAGGTTATTTCCATAACTCGAAGATCCGAGATAACCGCGAGCAAGACTATACTTGATTTATTTCGCTCCTCGATCGGGATCGAGACGCATTAACGCGCGCGTAACCGCGTACATCCACGCCGATTTTATTAATGTCAGAAAACAATGGTCAATCGGTTAGTTTTTCATAACAATTTGTAAACAGTACAGTGGATACTGTAATCGATTCTCGACAGCGAATTCGAGATTAATCGAATCGCGCATCGAGTTCGATGCGCCGTTAGTTCGAACAGCTGATGCGCAGAAACGTCAAATGGAACATGACGTTTGCGCGCGAAATTTATGACACTTTGTTGCGTCACGATGTTTTCATGGACGAACATTATTTTTATTTATTATTATCGATGCAAATGACATGTGTATATTTTGGCATATAATGATACACTATACATTTTTGCTAAGAAATTCCGAAAATCGTGTAAATGTCAAAGTTCATTCGAATAATATTGCGATAAATTTACCTTTGCAATTATATTTCTGTATCTTCTTTCACATTTTTCGCCACATTATTGTTCGAAAAAAGTTTTAGACACAATACATGTTAGAATTGCGTATTAATTATCATCTCTGATTTATTACACTTCATTTGAGACTCGAGACATCGCGGCATTCTTCATGGCGACGTTACTGATTTCGATTCATGTCACAGTGTGCGATCAAAAAAATATTTATTCTACTTAAAAGGATTGATTGAATCGTAATCGAAAGGCAAAATGGAATTAATGAGAAACGTATGGAGGAAGTATACGTTCATGTACAAAAGCGGTGTGCAATGTATATCTTTAAGACACAGGTATACATTTAAATCCCCTCGTAACCTCAAAATACGTCGCGCGGAATAAATTATATATTACGTCGTAGTTGAATAACAAACAAACGTAACGTATCCCGCGTCACACGATAAAAATATTATATTAAAATTATATGCAATTGTCAATTTATTCTACGATGACATCGTTTGCAGCGGCGGTACAACGTCGAACGTGGCCGAGGTAGCTGTATTTTCGCGGGACGGTGATTCCGGACTGACAATCACGGATGCCGGAGACACAAAACCGAAGGATGATATGATTTTCAATGCTCTGGGAGCGACTGACGAGCTGTCCTCTTACATAGGACTGGCGAGAGAATTTGCCTGTGATGGAAAGGTCGAACATCCGTATGTCGATAAGCTCAAGAGGGTGCAAATGATTTTGTTTGATCTGAGCCACGCCATATCGAAGTCGGTGCCTGGGAAAACCAGATCCTTCGAAAGCAAGCATACCAAAGACCTCGAAGAGTGGATCCTAGAATATGCAAATCAACTCCCTCCTCCGGAGGATTACATCATTCCAGTAATTACTTAAGATATTATAAAATTGTTCTGAAATTAGAATTTTGTTCTGTTAACTTTGGTATTTAAGTCTACTTTTATATTAGGGTGGTGGAAAAGCATGCGCTTCCCTACATGTTGCACGAACAGTATGTAGGCGTGCAGAGAGAAGTATTATAACATTAGTGCGAGATGGTGCCCTGGATAAAGAGGCACAAACGTATTTGAATAGATTATCAGACTTCCTATTAACGGTATCACGCATCGCGGCCAAATGTGATCAACGTACGGAGAATATTTATATTCCACGAGCGGAAGTCACGGAGGAGAAATAAATGGACTGAGATTTAGAAATTTTTGTAGGATTTACAATTAATTTTTTTTGCACTGACTTAAATATATAGTCAACAGCTGCATATGGAAATTAAAATATAACTATAGAGAATGAACATTTTAATTATTGTAATTAATTATCTTCATTAGCTTTCAAATCTTTGTCTTACAATGCTTATTATATATCAAAGAGTATATAATTTTACAGGAGCTAGATATATATCACAGTAAATATATATTATATTGACTTTCAAATAAATATAAATAGTTATAAATAAGAAAAATGTATGAAAAAGAAAAGTGTTGTGATTCTCTTATAGCTGTATCTTAATCAAAAAATTTAACGCAGGTTTATGAATAAATACATATGATAAAGATGTTAGCTGTACAACACCTATGTAGATAGAATTTGCTTAAAAACTTGTAAATACAAAGTACTTTATTAACCATATTGTTATTAACAAAGAGTTGTATCAACATATTAAATTATACTAAATAAATATGAAACTTTATAGTTAAAACAGTATAATTAAAAATAAGCAAAAACTTATTTATGTTAACAGTTCTTCTCCTTCAATTACTTCATTTAAATTAACTAATTCCAACAAAGCAGCACCTTTTGTTTCTGATCGTACCAATTCATCTATTCCTCTATATTGACCTGGATCAATTAAGCAAATAATTGTTAATGATCTATTGTCCCACTCTTCTGTTTCCATTTTAGTTACAAATTTAACAATTTTGTCTTTCAATTTCCTTGCTTCTTTTTCTGGGATAACAATCCTGAGCCTCATTTGAGCACGTTCCAAGGGCATTACCTCCTTCAATTGAGAAATTACATCTAATGCCTGTTGTTTGGCATTTCGATTAGGTTTAACAGAAAAGTGTATTTCATCTCTCATGGCATTCTCGATCATTGTAACTGGATATGGACGTTTTGTTTCTGGATTTATACACTTGCTGGCAACTGTCGTGGCAATGTCTTTGAACATGGAATCTAATGCTGAATGCCTTTCCTTATCGGAGACTTGAAGCTCACCCTCTGCAAGAATCTGTTTGCATATTTCAGTTTGATCATCAATGCCAAAAGCTTTCATAAGATCTTGCTTCTTTGCCACCTGACCCTTTGACACGTTGGTGAATATTGTGTGTGTTTGCAGTACTTCATCAATGTCTTTCTCCCTAAAATATATTACAGAAAAAAATAATAAACACAATGTATATCCATCACATTTTTCAAATAATAAAAGTAGTCACTTTGATGCAACTAATTTTGCATCTAGATTTTGCAGTGTGTGAATAATAAAAAAGATGTTCTGAAAAGCAGATTTAGAATAAATAATGTGTTATGACTCATTTGAATTGTAAATAATATAATCATATTGAATTATAGATTCAAGATGACATTAATAGGAAAATATTAAGAATGTAAATAATGTGAAAAAAAGACAAAAAAAACAGAGAAGAGGATAAAATAAGATAATCTCATAGATAAAAATATTAAGAGATAAGTAATATATATTAATATAAATTTTATAAGAACAATGTATTTTTATGTGAATATTGGAGAGAAATTAAACAAGATTACATATAGATAACCAGAAATATCATTATCAGTGGCAATTATTTATCGTCTATAAACAAAAGAAAAAACTTACAATTTATTTCTCCAGGATATCACCTTATTCTTATAACAGGCAATCTCGAATCGCTTTCCACCTTTTTTCATGCGAACGACTGCAACGTTCGTCAATCTTATTTGGTTCGTCGGTGTAAATATTTTCGACATTTTTGCAGTGTGCTCTACAAAAATCGACTTGGCACGGCAAAAGTATCAGCTATATATATATATATATATATATATATATATATATATATATATTTCGAAATATCTAATTCACAATACTCTTATTTCTTCTTATTTACACTTTCTTGCAAATATTGTTCGTACTGCGACAAGTTACGATAGAACACGCGAAAAAATTTTAGTTTACAGAAAAACAGCTCATTGAAAAATAAGGAAGAATTCAGAATAAGGAAGTTTCCCTATAGATGTCGCGTCGATGCAAGCAAGACCCCTGTATTCAAAGTATTCTACGCGTTGCGCTATATAATTGCATTTCACATGCTTCATTCCGTTTAATGTTACCGCACAACACTGCTTTAATTAAAGAATTTTTCGTACAATATGTAATTATCGTGACGAGAGAGAGCGCGTCTAGATGCGTGCGACTTTAAATCGACTTTGACCTTCGGGCGGCGCGGCTGGAATGCGGCGCGTCACGTGACAGTACGCGGAGTGGGAGAAGTGCGTCACGTGACATAACAGCGCGCGGAGTGGGATGAGCGTAAATTGAATGGGTAGAGGGGTGTGGTGGGAGGGGGGGGAGGGAACAACTGCGCACTGCGCGCGCCAGTGTCCTTTCCATCGTTCTCACTACGCAGTGAGGCGAAGCCACACGCATGTGCGTATTTCTCAATATTTAATATAATTTTCAACATTAAGTTATTCGAAATATACAAGAACGCAATTAATCAATTTTTTGCGATTACTTCTATTAAAATATTTGTAAATAAATACATATATAACAGTTAATTATGTTTCGAAATCTATTTGTCAAAGTGCAAAATTTAATCGACCAATAAAAAACCGAGAATCTCTTTATTCTGATTGGTCAATCGAGGCTCTGCACCCTAAGTAAATAATTTCTGAACACACACAATCTAGAATGCTGCTGCCCTCTAATGCACTTTCTCATTGTTCGTGATCGTTCGAATTGTTGGATGCTCGTCGCCGGTATACGAGAAAGTACATTAATTAGTGTGAGTATATTAATTAGTGCCTTCACGTCATATTATAATCATCGTACAGATTCGATCGCGTCGCGTGTCCCGACACGTAATCGCGATCGCACGCGGAGAAACTTGATCTTGTCGGCCGCGAATCTCGCTCGCAAATTCTCGTTCGTTCCTTCATCTTCCCCAAAGATCGCGTGACGTCACAGCTCGAACCGCCAAAAGTTCGCGCGCGCAAGTTTACGAGAGCGGATCGCGAGAATTATCGGGCGCTTTCGACGCGAAAATTTTCGGATATTTTCGGAGTTGTCGATCGTATTTTCAGAGAGCGATTGCGCATTTCCGGTCGTACTTTCGAATCGTCGTGTCGAAATGTCGTTGCGCGATAAATTCAGCTCATAATCTTCGCGAAAATCGCGGATTAATTACGACAAGGATCGTGTCGCCATTTTGGCAAAATGAAAATATTTCAATTGCTCTCTGAATTTTCTTGCAATCTATGAAGTCGGAAATATTTATAGTGGCTAGTGCGGGAATATCGGCGACTTCCGAGTGCGTCGCGGAGAAGTCGTCTTCGTCGTTCGACGAGGCCCTTCGAGAAGTGGCCTTGAAAAAATCGGCGACGCCAAAGCGAAGCCTCGGTCTTGTGCGAATAAGCTCTCGCGATTCTCTCGCGTTTTATTGAAACCGTCGAAAATGTAATAGCTAAAATCCGGGCGTCGTCGCGAACGAGAAAAAAAAGTGTGAGTGTTTCTACGAGGAGAAGGCCTGGGGTGGCATCGGGCAACGGCGGAGCAACAACGTGGTAAATATTTTATTTATTATTATTAATTTACTTATTTTGTTAATTATTTATTAATATATATTATATATTATTATTAATATATAATATATAAATATATATTAATATATTTTATTCATTATTTAATTTTTTATTTGATTGATTTTTTCTACAGGAAAAATGACACCTGCAAGGAATCCAGAGGACACCGAAACTGGAGAATAATAATAGTCGAAATGTGAGTCGAGTTATATGTTTTTTGTTTTTATATTTAGAAATTTAAATATTGTTTGAAAAATCAAAACTTAAATTGATACACTCAATTTACGATGTTACCGATCGTCGATATAAATATTTATCATTAAACATCGTTATCGACAGTGGTCCAGTACGTGATCTCGAATTATAAATTTCTTTACCGACAAGTAAGATTGAATTACTTTTCGCGTATATAACAACATACAAAAACAGGAATATTCGACATATATCGCATCGCGTAAACAAATAAATAATAAAACAAAGAGACGCATGTGTCCGCGCGTCGAAGCGGTTTGACACTTGGCGTGGTGGATGAGAGGTTGGGGGGAGGGGGAGAAGAACTCGGCGCGGGAGCATGCGCGGTACGGCCGTCGATTGTATCAAACATGGCCGCCGCGAGCGTGATACCGTCAAAGGTGCGCGAAAAATGACGGCTTTTCCGAGTTCGTGACGGCGCGATCGTACGTGCGCGCGCGAAAACAGTGTCGAGCGAGACGTTTCTCGTGGATCGTGACACCTGGAGGACGAGACGACGGCTGTCTGAACGCATCCCCGACCATGGCGTTGGTCACGGTGCAACGTTCTCCGAGCGTGTCCAGTTCCCCCCAGAGCTCGGTGAGTTTTCCTGCATATTTCTTTCTCTCGCGGGATGCTCACGCGTACACGCACCGACACGCGGAGACGGATAGGATCCAGCGCGTTATCAGGTCGTTTCGAGAGGGAACGCGATGGTCGCTTCGCGACCCTCGTCCTCGCGACTCGATTCTCCAGCTCGGCTGGAGCCAGAGACCGGCTGCTCTACCTTATTTGGCGGTGCTCTGACAGCCGTGCGAGAATGGGAATCGGGAGAATTCCAAGCTCCCCTGTACGGACTATTTATGCACGCGCGTATCTCGCGTGTGCGCGAGACACGCGATAGCCTCGCCGGCGCGGCGCGGAAAGCGCGCCGAAACAAAGAGACTTCGGTAGCGTAAACAAACGTAACGTAAGGTGTACAGAGGTTGCTCCGTTCTCGGTATTTTCGTGCCTCCCCGACACGAGGCTTCTCGCGATACGATTATAGGATTGTATTGTGCGATCTTTTTTTTTTTTTTTTTTTTTTTCTTTTCTTCTTTGCTCTCTTCCCGCTCTGCATCGCTTTCGCTTTCCGTTCACACGATCGTCATTGATGAGTTCTCTCACGTAGTCGAAGGTGCATTTTGCATTCAATTGTCTCTCGGCGATCTCGATATTTATTGATGCTCGCGAAGGTACTTTTTCACGATTTCAGAAACGTAATGCGACGAGATGAAAGTTGGAAGGCGCGAGCTGATGAGTGATTATGCGCTTCCGTAGCGTTGATAATAGCGTATGCGAATGATAATCTCGTGGTTTCGTTTCCTGAAATGGTAGAATTGCGTAATAGATGACAGACAAATACGAAATTATTTTTTTATCAATGTCAACTGATGGAAAAAAAATTTTCTAATTGATTATCGGATATTATTTTTGTTATTGATATTATTGTTGAATCATATCGCATAGTTGCAAAAATTTATTCTAATTGTAATATATAATCACTTAAATATTATTATAAATTTTAGATTTTTTAATACACAGAGAATTTTATCTTAGAATTTACTTTGAAATCATTGTGAGGCAATATGATAAAAAAAAATATTGGAAGAAATATACATATTCTTTTATTCCTAACAATCAATACTTTTATTTCTTTTCAATTTTTAAGTACATTTTCATGGATTTTTTATGTAAGAATTTTATTTAATTTTAATATATTTATATAATATTAAACACAAAAAGTTATAAAACAGAGTTCAATAATCTAGAGATGTCTATAAAAAAGAAAGATTAAAATTTATGAAAGTATAATTTAAATTTATGAAAGTATAATTTCCAAAATTGGTCAGAGAATCCATTGATAAATGAATTTTATATGTAGGTATTACAATACATGTAATATAATAATGTAGTTAATAATCCTGTTCATCTATATTTTCCTGAAAATATTGCGCAGAATACTTATCACAAATATTTATCTATTTATCTATCATAAATATTTAATCAGAAAAACTTTATAAAATTTTTCTAGTACCATATTGTCCCATGATTACTGTTATTTTCAGGATAAATTTTAAGAGAAACTTCTCTTCTTGTATAAAAAATGCTAATGTATAAACTATAAATATAATAATATTAATGTAACAAAGATAATCATATAATTCATTATTTTATATGATATAATAATTTACTTTATAGATAAGAAAATGCATATACATATTTTTAGTCGATTATATATTTTTCTTAATTATCATTTTTAAATCTAACAGTATAATATAGTATAATTAAGGGAAATTATACTTTCATAAATTTACAAATGTGATTGAATTTCAATAATTAATTTTTAATAGATTGTTATTTCAAATAAAATTGTTTTCAGTTTTATATTCAATCGTCAATATGCTAAATTATAATAAATAACAATAATTAATTATTGTTTGGGATACAATAGAAATGCTTATTCCTAAAAATTGCTTTAAATGTGATGAGCAAGTTGCATACGAGTTATGAGAATGAGCGAGTTTCGGGGAAGACGTAAATATTTCGTAATTTTTTAAAATTTATGACATTTCGAACACGTTTTACGTAGCTTTATTTACAACTTTGTTTTTCCTGCTTCATTATTATTATATCATTAAGCCAGTTAACGCGCAGCTGACTAGGTGATAAATTTATCGTAAAAGATTGTACTCGCGTCAGTTGATTTTCATACATAATTTTCTTTTATACACTTTTAAACGTACGTATTCCATAAGTGCCCTTCGGCTTCCTACCTACGGTTTGACCTTTCGTTCGCGTCATCGCGACGACCTCCGCGCTCCAAGGGGTGGACAATCAACGCTTGCGGAGGCGCTGCCGATCTGATCTGAAGCGCCACACCGACATGCTCGCGCGTAAACCAGGGTGATGGTGTTGGAGACCCTCTCTTCTCATCCCTCCTCGGCGTAACTACGACGACCGACTCACAATCAGTTGGTCCGCCGACACTCGACGGGTAGCTCTTCGCCGAGCGAATAAATATATACGATCGCGTTTTCGTCGCTATATACTCTTTCGAAACTTCTTGTACTTTGTACAAGCAGGGTTCTTGAATCTCGTTCTCGATCTCGATCATCGCTTTTCATGTTGAAATCACGCGATTATTGAAAGGTGATTGCGTCGAGCGATACGTGAGACAAATCACATATTCGGTTGAAATAAATATGTAGAATGCAGCTGTTGGAGGGATAATTATTTTAATGAAATTTATTTGTAATTGATAATCTCTCAAAATGATTTGTGATATCGATTTTCTATCTATCATATTAATTTTTTAAATAATTAATTATTGTTATTTATTGATGACAATTGGAATATAAAATTGAAAACAATTTTATTTGAAATAATATCAAAAATTTAAACCAATTATTGAAACTAAGTTGCATTTATAAATTCATAAAGGTACATTTTTTCATTTTTTATTTTATTCTTTTGAACTGTTGTTACTGATAAGAGTAAAGAGACTACTTTAATTTCAAATTAAGATATGATTAATAACATCTCTCATATCCTCTCGATTGACACATTGCAATTATTACTGCACAATTCTTTTGCACATTATATTATATCAAAGTAATAGATTGTAATTACAAATATTTGAGTGCAATTTTATTTCTACAAATTTTTGAAGCGAAATCGATCGCAATAATGTGAGATTTCGCGATTTGTAGCCGCACTCTGTGCCGAATTTTAAAAATCTTACGTGAGAAACATTCTGTCTATGGTACGCGAAAACGCGTTATCGCATTTGCGTGTCGCGAGGAAAGGCTTTTGTTGGTACTTGGCGAAGTATGATTGTGCTGAAGCAAAAAGCTTCTCTACATTATGGTCTACCACCGCCACCGGCGCCTCAGCCACCCTCGCCCTGGTCCAGCATACTCTGGGGTGACGATCCGCGACCTCACGGACGTAGAATCGCGTGTGGCGTCCGCGTCACGCAACTGCGGAACAAAGTCATTGCAAAAGTAAGCTTTCGTGCTAGCAGAACTCAATGATTTTTTTGATTATTCAACTAGCTCAATTCACGCTACATATGCTACTGATACTCAACATTATTGAAGTAAAAATAGAAATCGAGTCGGAAATACTCCGATATTTTCAGGAAGATATACAGATGAACAGGATTATTATTACATTATATAAAATGTATTATAATATATATATAGAATTCATGCCAATAGATTTTTTGATCACCTTAAAGTTTATCTTTTTTTTTTACAAATCTCTAGATTATTGAACTCTGTTTTATAACTTTTTGTTTCTTAATATTATATGTATACTATAAATATAGTGAGAAAATAACAATAAGTAAAATTCTTAAAGATCTATGAAAATTTACTTGAAAATTGAAAACAAGTAAAAGTATGATTGTTCGGAATAAAAGTATGCATGTTTACATCTACATTTAAATATTATTGTTATCTATATTTATCTCTAAAGTTTAACTTGCAATAAGCTATAATTTGTAAATAATCGATACATCGTTATTTTCATGAAGAAAAAATTTATTTTAAATTTATCAAAGAATTTATTTTTAAAATGGCTTCTGCATTGATGATGTGATACATTCTATACACTGTTAAAATAAATAAACATAATTTTTATTGTTATTTGTTAAAATAATTGAAATACAAATTTAGTATTTGTGTCGAAGTTTTATATTTATATTGTTTTTTTAGAAAGGAAAACGTTTATATTAAATTTCTATGCATTTAATTTATTTATTTTTGTAAGATATTAGGTGGACTTTTTTAAGATGAAAATATCACATTAGTTACAAATATTCGTGACATAGAGAATTAAGTTTTGATGAGAAAAAACGAATCATGTAGATCAGTACAATTTTTGTAGAGATAATTAAAATGAGCAACGATCGTTATCCGAATTAATCATATACTTCTTTCTTCGAGGATAATCAAGATAACGGCATGCTAAGCAACACGCAAATTATATCGAGTAGGGAAAGCCACTTTAATGACCGTATGACATTATGGACACGCGCATATTTTGTGTATATATTAGCACGCAAAGGCACAAACTCACCACACAGGGTATTAATTACGAGGCGACACTTAAAATTTGATCGTGTAAAATTATGTTTTCTCTCATTCTCATTATATACTTTCCATGATTTTCATATATTCGAGTTAAATATTAGTGCATTTTTTTTGGTAACACAAATTTGCATTTTTTCAATTGGTTAACACAATTTTCATTGAGTTTCATTATATGAGTAATTATTACGTTTATATTCCTTTATATAAAAGAGGATTAATAAGTTTTAATAATTAATGATAATAAGTTTAAAAATAGTAAATATAATAAAATATTTTTTTGTCTAAAATACAAATGTTTTCTGTTTTTACAATTATAATTTATGTTATTACTTAATACATTTGTACATAAAGATTTTTATTTAAAATTGTTTTGCAAAAGCGTAGAATATTAATAAAATTTTTGAAACATGTTTTTTTGCAATTGAGATTACGTATTTATGATTAAAAAATACACGAGAAAGAGTGTTATGCTGATCTAATTAGATACATTTATCACCTCTATTTTGCACAAATTCTCATGCGTAATTATTACGCGTCGTTTGTCACGTATAAGCCGTACTAGTTTTTTTTAGTCTTCTTAATTGAGTAACGGTGTAATTAAGCATTAAGATCGACACGTAACCATTGTAACACTAATTTATGTGCAATCCAGTTACATTGTTGAAAGCACATTACAGGATCCGAAAGTGTATTCTGTTTTCTTAGATATTATCTCTGTATTATATTCTCTTTTTGTTACGTATTTTGTGGATACGTGCAATTATGATGAACGAAATATCATAAACTTTACTAGAAAGTGAAAGTTTCTTTTTTTTTAAATTTATTATTACTGTCGCTTTAATTATTATGATATATCACATATGTTAAATTTTCAATTATTGCATTAAAGTAATTTTATTAAATCTATTTTGTTTTAAAATCTCATTATAATATATTTAAATAAATGGCATATATTTAAAATTTAAATGCTCGAATATTTAAATTTGATCATTTTTTTTCTCAGGAAAAGCAATATATATATCGTTGAACGCTGATTTTTCTATATATTTTGTTATTATATTTTGAGCCGTATTATTGTATGTATCGTACAATTAATATAATGATAATTTTATTGAGTTCTTTTAGTAGAGTTAGTAAATTAGCATAATTGTGCATTCTGACAACAGATAAAACACGTTTTTCTAGTTTGACTGCAGAGTCAATTTTATCAAGTTGAAGAGATGATATGTTGAGCAATGCTAAAAAAACGAGATGGGATTATCAAGATTTACGAGCGTGTATAAATTATCTTTGATATATGAGAGAAGTCAATATTATTCAAATCATACATGTGAAATTTCCTTTGAATTTTAGAACTTATATTTGCTGATGTATTTTTATTAAGATGTTAAGATATGCACAGCTATATACTTGTTATTATCTGTAAAATATTAATTATTATTTTGTTATCTGTAAAATATTAATTATTATTTTGTTATCTGTAAAATATTAATTACTTTACTATATACATATATATATATATATATATATAAATTTAAAGTACATTTAAAAGAATTAGAACAGTAATTAGAACAATTTGTATTCTATTCTTTTTAGTTTTTATTTTCATTCTTTACGATTAATCGATATGAAGTGCTTAAATAGAATACTTACTTAAATGTAAAAGTGCATTTAATTAAAAATTTTTACAATATATAATTATAATAACACAATTTTATTAAATGTAATCACAATTTTTAGTACTATAGCGATTACACGATGGTTGTTGCGAAAGGAGATTTGTGGTACATAAATTCAGAGATTTTTTAGTTTATTGAGCAAATGTATTTAAGCTTAAATTACGTGTAAAATTATTTGCGAAATTATTTTGAGAAAGCGAATGATTGATTGGTATCGTAACTATTTTGTCAATGTTAATTATTTTGTCATTTTGATTAGGTTATCGCTTTGTGTGATTACTGCCATGCAGATAACTGTCAAATAAATTATATTTGCTAATGATATTAAACAATTAACCTATCGTATTTTTGATTCTCATTTGCATTTAATAAATATTGTGTTGCTATATAGAAATAATTATTATATTATATAGAAACTAATGTAAACACATCAAAGTAACGATATACATATATATGCAAGATATATATTACTATTATATTTTCTTTTGATAGGAAATTTAATATTAGTAACTGATTACTTTGCCTGTTTTATTAGAAATGTTGCAATTATAATATAAAATATACATTTTATAGTAAATATGTATATTTTTCATAAAATTTACAAACTACGAGGTAAGATAAGATTATTATATTTTATTTTATCTCAAAATAAGTTTGTATTTGATATTAAACTCTAATAATTATATCTAATATCGATACCAACTCTAATAATTTTATCTAATATCGATCAATATGGTTTATTTGTGGAGATCGTATCGATGCCTAGGAAAAGTTATTGGAGAATTTCTCATGAATACATCGTGAGAAAGCGAAATCAACTGCATACACATGTGGCAGTATATATTTCTGTTAAGGAGCTTGTATCGAGAACTAATACATACGTACGAACATCGAGAGAAATGCAACATAATTCATGTGGGACCAGATGAACAACATTGTCGCGATCGCGAATCTCGTATCCGCATTTCGCTAGTTGTCAGTTCCGAGTGTATGTAATTATAATCTGAAATTCGCGTCATGTGTTTTAGGTACGTAACTTTAGGTTGTCAGATTTCTCCAGTTGCCTTTGTGCGCTTGAGAAAACTATCGGTTTCGATTTTAACATTGTCATGCATTTTTATTTCATTTTTATGGATCCAAATACAACAGGATTACAAATTAATTGCGTATAATCGTCACATTATAAGTCTATGAATTTTTATGAATTTTCAGGATATCATGAGATTGCTTACTTTAATATAACTGCACACGTATATCTTTTTTATCGGAAAAAGCAGCACTGCTATTTTCAAAGCACCCTGTATATGCAGTAGCTTGAATGTATCTAGAACTGTGCCCCTTGTTTATTGTGAGTAAAAGTGAAGATGAGTGGGAAGTGTGCTTGGAAAGGTCATATGTCGTAATGCAACGTTCAGACTTACTTCTTCTCATAAACAGCACTCTAAATTATTTCACGTAAATGTTATATTTTTCTCTCTCATAAAGCTTTCATAAAATATTTTAAAAATTTTATAGTGCGATGTGCAAATGTCAAAATTGTTTGTGTATTTCAAAGTCTAAAAATATCGTCAAAAATGTCGATTAATTTGGAACTTGGAGTGATATTTATAATTAATTATTTTTACTCTCGCGTTAGACATAATTCGATTTAAAATTTAAATTGACAGATATTTCTCTCTTTGCTGAACTTTAAAATAGACTCGGGTATTAAAGTTAGAAACACTCATAGTAGCAGTGGCGAATTCACTTTGTATCGCACGATGCTGTGCATTCACCTTGAAAGCCGCAATTAAAAAAGCTGCAGGGCTCTGCTGCTTGCTCCCTCCTTTTCGCCTTATCTTTCTCTCTTGCCTCGGTCAGGCGCAATCTTCTTTTCAGTAAATGAAAGGTTCTATTTAAGCTGCGCTAAGGCAAGATTGGAAAATTGTACTGCGCTTCTAATAGAGAGAGCGTGCGCGTTGTTTTATGCGCTCGCACGATCAATTTTCTTAACCGCGACGGTAATACATTGTAAAGTATCTTCGTCGAGGATAATTGCAGGATGCTGTGTTTTGCATATTCCACTCTCGCTGTGAAAGAAACTATATAGTATTGTTGAATATTCTTGAAATTTCAATATCGAAAATATATATGTATTGACAGCATCGCATATATATATAATATCTATAACTGTTCTTATATTTATTGTGATAGTGATTTATAACTGTGTCCGAGACATACATTTTAATCGATCTTGAATACATTTTGTGCACGCTGCGTATTTTCAATCTTGAATATTTTTTAAAATTTTTTTATCTTGTTATTATAAAATATATTAATGCTTTATATAAAGATAATTTTTTTTATTTTTTGGAAGTACAAAGATAAGCGTCCTATATCTATATACAATACATAGAATATCGTTGTTGCTTATCCAAACACAGTTTTGCTACACTTCTTTTTATCTGTTATAAGTTTAGCGCGCTAAAATTTGTTCGCAAAAAAAGGCGAAATTGTATCAGCATTTCATAAAGATTACATTTTTGAGGTACATAAAAAATAATATATTATTTAAGATAATTTTGTAATACATATATACATAAATATACATACATTTAATTTACATATATACATTACATATATATATTTAACAAGATTTTATTTTTTATTTTTGTTGTAATGCAGATTACAAAAATGATTGTACTGCAATTTTTCTATAGTATATCGTGTTCACGCGTGCCAGAAACGCTCTTGAGCACAATTCATTTTGCTTGCACGTCGAGCATTTTTAGTTTTAAGGGACTAGAAAAGGGTTGCCCTATCGTGCACTTTGCATACAGATAAGTGCACTTAAAAACGAAGGGGCTAGTTGCAGTTTTTGCGGGACGAGGGTAGCCTTGGGCTGCTGGTCGTCTATTGATTTTGAGGGTTCGTTTTCTGCGTGACTGTGCGCCACGGCGCAGGATTCGAGCTCTTCGTATCCTCTTTTGGTATTTACGATGCACTTTATTAATAAAAGAGCCACCGCACCGTGCATCGACGCGCATAGCCTATACATGCAGCCAAATGACGCGTGGAAATGTCTCGCCACTCTATAAGTGAGAAGCGATATATAAAACAAGACTATAAATTTCGTTGTAATATATTAACTTGTCTCGATAAAAACGAGGCTATTTTTTACGTGTTTATTGATGTATAAATATTGTATACCAAACATTTCAGATATAACATTACATTTATTAACGCACATTATTATGGTTATTAAATAAATTATTAAGATAACTTTTAAAAAGTTTCAAGGATTATGGATTACACTGATTATTAATAATATTAATTATAGTGATTATATATTAAACGCGATCTCTTTAAAATTTTCTACATATGATTATATTGCACTTTACTTTATCAGATTGTAAAATATAATGTCTCTTTTATTACACTGCAAAAAGTTGACAAATTATTTTTATAATTTCTATATAATTAAATGGCTATTTAAATTGAATTTCTCTTTAAATTGATAGCTGTCTAAAATTCTAAAATAATTATACATGTTTTAAATAGAATTTTAACGATTAAATATAAAAATAGATCCAAAAATGTGAGTTTTGCCAGCTTCATTTGCATTTTTACTTAAGTCAAGATTGATTTGAATTTTAATAGAATTTTGATAGAAAGCTGTCAGAATTATAAAAAAATACTAGATTTTTGTAGAAAAATTGTTCACTCGCTGAAATAAAAAAATTTCATTTGAGGAGTGAAAACTGGGATTACCCCAAAATTGTTTAGTTTTATTAATTTAAACGCGAGATATGTTTCAATTTATTCAAACTTTATACAAGTTTACTTGAATCGTAATTTGAAGGCTAAATTTACGGAAGCAATGCTAATTTCTCTTTCTCTATCCTCTTTCTATCGTTGTCTCTTTTGACGACAGGTTTGTTTGCATTGCCAACAACGTTTCGTCAGACGAGTATAATAAACTTTCGAATGGAGCGTTTGCGCGGTTTTTTTTTCGGTAGCTTGTGAAGTATTGTCTTCAGACATACAACTGTTTGCCAACGTTCTGTACCGTTCACCGTCGTTGTCACGATGCCTCAATTATCTTCTGGAAAGGGGGGCGAATAAAGGCTTGTCCATATTCTCTTGTCTGTCATGAAGTTAGTATTGACGTAATTCCACAGCAACGTTTTTCTTTGTTGGCGCTTTCACCGCAAATTATTAACGCTGCTTGTTTGTCTTTTTGTCTGTAGCAGAAATTGGCCGAATGAAAAAAAGAAAGCAAGAGAATTAATTATTAATTTCCTATAGCTGCCTTGTTCATTATTATTTTTTAAAATTATACTATCGAGCGATCAGCAGTAAAATCGATCTATACATATAATTTTGAAACTTTAATTTTTAAATAATAACGTTAAGATTAGAATTATTTTTATTGTACAAAATATTTTTCTTTATTATTATATAGTACAGTTATTATATAGTGCTTAGCTTTTATTATATATTTATAATATATAAGAATTATTGTATTTTTTTAGGATTCGGGAGCAGGAGCACCGGCCGACGATGAGGATACTACGAGAAGTTGTAAAAGGTCAGTTTATAAGTAATTATGAATATTTTTTATACAAAAATATGTTTTTTCGATTAGAGAAGGCATAATAGATATTTTGATAAAACAGAATAATGCGCACGAAAAATATACGGATTACGAAAATAATACAATTAAATAAATATTTTCAAAAATATTTTCTACTGAAATGTGCAAATTGTACATTTTAAATTATAATTATTTTCGTTGCAACATACTATCAACGATAAGCAATCTTGCTCTAACCTTACGATATCTTAGCGAGCTCATGACACCCTATATAAGCGAATACGAATACGTATACCCAGTTTCAATGATAAGATCGAATTACACACAAGACCGCATCTTTAAGTGTGTGTGAAGAGATCCGTGGAGACTTCGGGCTCTCATCTCGCACATGGAATGTTCTCGCGGCCAATCTTTTCGCTTGTCACCGGATAACAACTCCGGCTACCGGGTTCGAAAAGCGCGAAATTAAGCGGAATTTAACACGCGCGCAGGCTAATAAGTCGTGATAAGGAACGAACGATGGCTATCCTGGACTGGTAGTAGGCCTCTTTACTTAGCGAGTAATTTGCTTTTGCTTTATCGGCCATTGAAAGTACGATACGACGTTCGCTCGGTTTTCCAAGGATAACCGTCTTAATCTGATAAAACTCTTCTTGCGAAGTTTCTGCGAAGATGGTATGGAATCGTTCGATTTTTTTCCCGAAGACGATCTCGTAAGAACGGCCGAGTGAGTTTTACCACTGGATATTCGAGATGCATCTAGCATTTTTATTAGTTTAGCTGAGTACAGTGTCGTGTCTTATTCTGTTTACATTCTTGAAGACAGGTATCGGTGTACTATAACGATAAACACAGGTCTTATCGCCATACGAACAGACACATAATCTGAAATTAGTTTATTTTATGCGTATGTCCGAAATTTTATCTTGAGGATGTCTTTTTTTCAATTTATGTGACTCATTATATTTGCATTATTATTTTACGATACAAGATAATTTTCCATATTAAAATAATGACACAATTATACAGTAAGAATATAATAACAAATTTATTTTTATTTATAACAAAATATTTTAATATTGAAAATAATAATTTAAAACACTTTTTTTACTATTTGAATTTCTACTATTGATTAATTGATTAATAATTAATATTTTTTAAAAATATTTATCTGATGTAATCTTTAAAATGTGGCTATTTATTTAAAGATCTTTTCCTGTCTTATTAAAGAGATGTACGGAAGATGAAATATTCTACATAATAATATGCAAATATACTTGACTATACTGTCTTGAATATTTTTCTCTTGACTTTTTGTAATCATTTTATCATTCAAATAATTTAATGCTTTACGGTACCATAATAAAATGAAGATGGCGAAGTCGTAAAATGAAGATAACTATGTTTCTATCCTTTTTACGAGCTAGCTTTATGGCGTCTGTGATCGACAATCTCTTCCGGGCGAAAGGTAGTTATTGCGAAAATATTACAATTGAAATTCGCGATTGTCGTCATCGGTCGTGCTCCCGGAACCGTGTCGATTATTAAGCAGGAAATAACACGAGGGAACGTAGCGTAGCGTTATTTAATCAACGATGAAACGAGTTCTTCCTCGTGGAAGAAGCGCGTCTTCACTTCCTCCTTCGAGACGTCGTTATAATTCGCTTAACTCGACTTGAATCTTCCCCGAGGAAAGCGGTGCGTGCTCGCGCGTGCGAATTTCCTGCCTATCGTCTCGGATGCGGACAGCGTGATGCATCTCCAATCTGCGTCGCGCTTGTGCGTATCTTATGCGAACGTGTGTGCGCCAGGAAATCCCCACGAGAGCCGACTCACTCTCCTGCCACGAGCTGCCGCGAAGAAGGCTTCACACTTAATCGTCTGACTTTCTACCGTGTGTTTGCGTAACATCTCGCCTCGCGCGCGGATCGTAACGTTACATTACGCGGGAAACGTAATCGAAGTCTTCGTTATTGATAAAAAGAACAAATTTTTCGTCGCGACCGGATATTAAAATACCCTGCCTCCAACGAGGGGTGTCGCGATCGTTACGAGAATTTTAGCGCGGATATTGCTGCGGATGAGGGATAGAGAAATAATCATTCAGATTTTTTTTACGTGACTAGATGACTAAACAAATGAAAAGCATATTTGACTTTTATATATCTATTTTAGAACAAACGGATAATAAGTATTTTTTAAATAAATTAAAAATATGAATCTCTTTTCTTAAATAAAAATATTGATGCATTTTATAATTTTAATGTTAATTAAAAATAACAAGTTTTTCATGAAATTTTATGGAAATAAATATTATATTCTCTTCTTTGAAATTAATTTAAAATATATTTTAAATTTCAGGAAAAAAATTAAATTGAAAAGTTTGACTATAATATAAAAGATCTATGAGAGATAATCACTATGCTTAATTTTACTAAAAAATTCTATTTTAAAGTCGTAAAAAAATATGTTATTAATTCGCAGTTTGATCGCTATTAGAATGACATTTCCATTTATAGTTCGCGATTTATTCTGCAACGTCACGGATTCTCGATTGCTCTCAATTTTAGATAAAGCGCTGTTGGTTATGGCAATATATCACGAATTGTTATGTGCATTCTCGCTTATTTCATCTCTGTATAGGAAAGTCAATTTGTAGGCAATCAACCTCGTAATACAATACCCCCGATTCAGTCTTTAACTCCTGGCAGCACTGATGCCCGCTATTTTTGGCTAGATTGTTCGGGAGGCACATTTCAGCAGAGCATGTATCTGATACATGACCTTTTAGCTCAGTTAAAGTTCAGACCAACATACCGATATCAAATCTTACGAGGCTGTTCTGCTAGGGGGAATGTTGACTTTGCAATGTACCTATTAAAACAATTCGTAATAAGAATTTAGATATCTATTGCCTAATTCATTCTTTGCTTAATTCATTCTTTGCCTAATTCATTCTTTGCCTAATTACTCACATGGTTTATTATTAATTTATGTCGGTATTTGTTTCCCAAACTATGTTTAAATTGAAAATCATAATGCATATGTGTGTTATATATGATACACACATTTAAAGTTAGACATATAAAATCTCAAAATTATTTTTTCTGTGTATTATGATTTACAAATAACATATATGATCAATTACAATATATGAATGAAAAATAATAATAATTTATAATTTTTATTATAACTTATTATTTTGACGATGGCATATCAATTACTAATTGAAATTGTTTACGATCTTAATATCTTACCGCTTGATTAGAGCATCTGTATTTCGTTAAATTTATTAAATTATTTTCGACAAACAAAATGTGCAAAGTATTAATTGCAGAACATAAACAGTGCCAAAGTAATTAAACTGATATTCTAGTGCTGATCTAGATTTATAATTGCAATTAAATTCAGCCCTCGTTGCCTTAAGGGGCAGAAGTGCTTAGTAGAACCGTATAGCTAATAGTGCAATTATCATTAATTGCGATCTGCAATCGCGGACGATGCTTATTTCACAACTACAGTATGGTGACTCGAATTGCGTGGGTGGAACTAATGCCACTCATTTGTTTGTACAACTTTCAGAATTTAGTGGCTAAGTCGTGGAGGGATAATCGATATCGCAAAGCAATATAATAGAAATACTTCGATTATATAAATATATATAAATTTATATTAGGTATATCATTTTATATATTATTATATATATTTATATTTCATAAATTTGACATATATATAGGTATATAAATTTAATAAATAATTAATACACATTTTCTCTTTGCATAAATTTCGCGTTCTCAATTTTCGCATAAACTTGGACAGCCGCAATAATACGTTTTTATCTAAATACCGTTTCCGTCTTGACAGTACAACAGTAACAACATGTCTAGCGATGCGTTTTCCTTTCACGTTCCGTATGACCTGTCATAAATTTAGAGCCTGACCGCAAACTTATTAATGTCCGTCATGCAGTAGACGCGTTGCCCTAACTTTGTCCAGCGTCTCCATAATTTTCTGCACGCCTCGTCGCCTTCGCGAAGAAGACTTCGATCATTGATCTCTCGTAAGAAAAAGAAAGGGACATCCGGTGTTTTAGCGTTAGGCTACGATCTCGTGCGTGATTGATGCCGTCCTAATTATCTGTGTCACATCTGGCATAGTACCAGTCGGACGGACAATTGTAGACCTACATTTTACGGTCGTAGATTGCGATACTTGGTTGCCTTTAAGGCGTTAGGTTATCTCCAATTACATAGTGTTTGCGGTTTCAATATGTCTCGCAGTTACAACTCAAACGTGTGTATCGAGTTCCAGACTTGTTAACACGCCTGTTAACGATCGAATTGCTAAAAGGCGAGTTAGCTTTGTTGACCATCGCATTTTAAAAGACGTATGATTGTACCTTAAATATCACACCGTGAAGTGGAGAGAAGCTCTGGCTCGCAAGAACTTCTGACGACCCGCTCTCTCGGATGCCCGAAGCCGACCGAGGCCGGTCTACCTTGAACGGGATTCCTGGTCGTTCGTAAATTTCACTAACAAAGAGTCACGAGACTCGTGAGGATAATAGCCGGATATACACGTATTTTCTCTCGCTAACGTGCATAATGCCACATACACGCTGCTCATTACAGTCTCGTAGATTCCGATAGTTTTTAGAAAGAGAAGTAATACAGAAAATGATATCTATTATTTCTCGTCTATTTGTTATCTTACTTTTAACCGTGTACTTTCTCTCCAATGCGGATGTGATGGTAATAACTTACGGATCGTGAATTTATTGTTGCGATAGGTAGTTACAGTACACACACTACACGAAAAACTTTTTCTTTTCAGTTTAATGACATGTTATATCGCAATTTTATTTCTTTGTATCTATGATTTTTTTTCTAATATTCAAAAAATAACGAGAAATCTAAAGCGAAAACTGTTTTAACCGAGCAAATTTTAGATAATTGAGAAACATTAAGGAATATATAAAATTATTAACATTTTTG